AAAAAAATACAACGAAAGGAATACGAGAAACTACAGGAAAATACAAACGAAAGCGTAACTACTTACAAGATCTGTACGGCACTCCGGAATAACAACGACTGAATGAAAATCACAACTACGATGTTATATAGCAGATAAAAAGGCTAAAACAATAGACTAAACAAGGCTACACAATACTCAAAGGCGATTGCATGAAACAACGCTGACAAACTTAATTTACATTTTGACAGCACGAAAAAATACAAACTAATAAATACAGAACTGAACTATCGAGACGAGAACTATTTACCCTAATTACAATTAACAAAGACGAACGACAGAAATGACAAAAAAAAAAATAATAATAACTCTCGTGGCTACAACGTAGTTAAACGTGATCTATTTTTGTCTGTGGGAACCCGATCAAATGCTAAGTCGAACGATTGTGGACTGTGGCAGGAAATTGAAGGTAAGCCACAAATCGATTACGGACACACTCGCATGGGGGGGGGGAGTGGGGACAAAAATAACTTCTTTGGGTTTCTGAATATTGTGACTGAATGATAACATCGTTTCGAGACGGAGGGGTCGAAAGAAGAATTTTGCGCATTTATACCATCAGCTACCCTTGCATTATAAAATGTTACATATTTGTGCATTTACTGTGAGGGAATTTACCTATTTACAAACAGGAAAAAATGTTTAATCAGTCCTACGCATATCAAACTCTGACTTCATTTATCTTCATCATAAATCATCATCATTTTGTCAGTATTATTACCTTTTTTGTTTTCGGCAGAATGGGACGTTTATTGGTGTAAACTGTGATACAAATGACGCAAAAATTGTTCAATTATCAAGCATAATCTCAGGTGGCAAGAGAAACTACAAGTGCCTTTGCGTCGGTACCCTTTCAAGTGGAGAACCAAAGATGCATTGCTATATCCACTACTGGAACTGTCACTTGTAAGGGAAAAAACATAAAGTCATTTGTTTAACGAGAGTCTTCTCTCTGTAGAGAAATTAGTAGAGACTGGAACTAGCTGTATAACATATTAACAATTGCCCTCTATATCATATTTTTGTCGTTGGCGCGGTCATATTTTCAAATGTGTCCAGTCGTAGTAAGGGGAAATATCAAGTCATATTTGCAATCGATATACTGAAAGCTTATTCTAGACTTATCCTGCAGCCATTCAGGATGGCAACATTAAACGAAGTGTAATCATATTGTTTTAGCTAATAACTAATTCTTATACTTTGTGGGAGAATTGATATCTTCCGAAATTTCTCGGGACTTATCGTTAAACCCTCCACATACATAAAAAAGGAAATGTTTTTCAAAGGAATTTTCTGTTCGAAGTTTACCGTTCAACGGCGATTTTTTGTAGTTGCTCACAGTCCTCTCCTGGTGGATTCCAAGATCGGATGTATGTTGTTACTGTTTACCTGTAACTAGAGGAAAGAAATTTTCGTATACTGAAATGAAGAAACAGTATTTTTATCATCTTATAACAGGATCAACCCGGGAAGTTATATAAAGGGAAAATGCAACTGCTACTTCTAGATCTCGCTTGTTACATTTATCGCAAATAAAAGATACCTGCAATATGCGTAACATGCTCATTTGATACTCTCTGTGTTCCGGTACCTTTAATTTACGGTTTCATCGTCGTAAGAAGAAAGTCGTATCAACTTAAGGTCTAAACAATCATCCGCCAAAGTGTGTTTTCATGAGCACAAATGTACAAATGTACATTTGATCAGAAAGCTATCGGGCCAAAGCGATTTGCCAGAGATTATTTGAAACGGGTTTTTCAGTCTTCTGCCCGATCCCTTAGTCAAACAAATATGACATTCCAGCAAATTAGACATATTCGTGGGACACTGCCTAAAGGTCTGCTAGCCCATCTCGTATTTATGCCCAACAGATATTTATTTTTTGAGATGTTAGTTCGATGAACCAACATTAATGACTCAGCAACAATTCCTAAATTTGCCAACATATAATTGCCCTTGCACTCTGAACCGACCAGGACAAGAGCTGATGGGGTCACTGCATTCGAAATCCGTTACCAGTTTAAAGGATAAAACGCGGCTGTTTGAACAAATTGTGTTTTAAGGGAGGCATTCCAACCACAGGCAGCCCAAGCTCACTACCAGAAAAGCGGACATGACTCTTACCGTGTTGCGTAACGTTTCATATTTATAAAGGTTTGTATGGGATGTTATCGGTTTGCCTTAAAAGAGAGAAAAAAATGTCTTGTTTTGAAATAAAATGGGCTTACCTTATTGCCTTGTTGTTTTCTTTGTTGATTCCGAGCGTCTCAGGCCATTTTGAAGCGTTTTCGGCGAGTTAGCGCTATGTTGGTGTTCAACTGCTAAAAGAAAGACAAGGCCGGAAACCTATTTTAGAAGCGTCCGTCGCCCGAAGCGAATAATTCCGCCAAAAAATTACCACCAGTCTCGATTCCTCCAGAAAATCAAAGCAGAGATGTTGCAGTTCCATTTTCCATTCACTCGATTCACAATTCCTCCCACAGATCTTTCACTAGCGATACTTTTATCTCCAGATCGATCGGCTTTCCAATTTCGAATTTGGCTGCTTGAAACGTTCGCGGCCCGTTCGCCGATCGCACAGTATGTTGGGTAACAAAAATAAGCCCGGCGAGGGTAGCCAGCGGCCT